GGAGCAGTTCACACTCTGCAGGAGCAGTTCACACTCTGCAGGAGCAGTTCACACTCTGCAGGAGCAGTTCACACTCTATTTTGTTCTGTTTGTTTAGAGACAGGATCTCACTATGTAACACTGGCTAGTCTAGTACTATGTAGACCAGGTTGCCCTTGAGCTCAGAGATCTATCTGCCTCTACTTCCTGAGTGCTGGGATTAAAGGCATTTACTACCATCATCCTTGAAGTACCATTTTTAATTAATAGAATTATCCCAAAGGTAAAAAAGGATTATCAAGTAAAATATGACATTTACATAAAATGGAAACCTGTCTAAATATTTCAGGGGACATTACTGCATCAACTGACATGAATCAAGGTATTTCCTAAGGTATTTCAATGGGGATAAGAAGCAAAGGATGGAAAAGGCTGACAAGATGGCTCATCTGGCAGAAGCCTGACACCTGAGTTCAGGTTCCAGAACCAACAGCAGAAGGACAAAATCCCTTCCAAAAGTTGTCCTCTGACCTTCACACTCGGACCCACCTCTCTCTCTCTCTCTCTCTCTCTCTCACACACACACACACACACACACACACACACACACACACAAAGCAAAGTACAAAACAGTATGTGTGCCACTGTCGTGTGTTGATTTTACAAAACAGTTGTGCCCCAGTGGCCCATGCCTGTAACCCCAGCACTTAGGAGTCTTGTGACAAGAGGATCCCAAGTGAGAGGTGTGGGCTGCATAGCAAAAATAAAATAAAGAACAACAGCAAACAAAAAACTTGGCCAATTTGATGCTTTAAAACCTTCATTCTAATGTTGATTTCTTTGGTTAATAGGTTGTTAATTACTTCGAGATAAGTTCTTACCAGGTAACTCAGCTTCCTGCCTCAGCCTCCCATGTCTAGATCTGGTGTATTCTTTGACACCATCTACTTTTTCCTTAGAGAAGATCTTTAGTGATTTGGATTGGGAATTGGCTGGAGAGTTTAAGTGACCAGCAGTTGCTAGGTACTTGCCCAGGGCCAGAAGCCAGGAGGCTGGTGTTTTCACCCTTGGGCCACAGCTTACCAATGTGCTTGGGAAGTAGGAGATGACCATAGGTCCTCTCTGGCTACAACAGTCTCTGACTCTGTGTCTTATCGTCCATTCTCTAGTGGCTGGACCTCCACCTGAAGGAGAACGTGCCCCCTTCTCTTTTGCTCCTGTCACGTACCTTCTACCTGATAGATGTGAAGCCAAAGCCTATTGAACTGCCACCAGATATAGAGGTCAGTGAACTCATGCTGAACCTGGACTGCCATCCCACAGGCCTCTCCGGAGACCAGTGTCTTCAAGTCAGAGCAGGCAGGACTTTAGGAATTTGGGTTAACTGGCCTTAACATCTAGTATTCTTCATTAGCAACCCTGTATTCTTCTCCTTGTAAACTAATGGTTCCTTTTCTTTTCTATTTCATTTGTTCAACTGCCTATAAATTTTCAAGTCAATAAGGGCTTAGAATGTTAACTTTTTGTCTCTGTTCATTCATCTCATTAGTCATTTTTTTTACTTGTAGTTTTCTCATTTGTTTTGGTTTTTTTTGGGGACAGGGTTTCTCTGTGTAGCTCTGGCTGTCCTTGAACTGACTCTGAAGACCAGGCTGGCCTTGAACTCAGAGAACTCCACTTGCCTCTGTCTCCCTAGTGCTGAAATTAAAGGCCTACACCACCATCACTTTTTGTTTGTTTGTTTGTTTGTTTTGAAAGGCTGTACAATTTATTACTGGAGAACCCACTCCCAACTTAAACATGATCAGGGTTGAAAATGTTGAACTCCATATGATAACACTCATCCAGAACCACAATTCAGTGTAAACTGTCTTGCCATTGTTGACTCCTTACAGACCCAGGTTCATTCTCCTCCAGTGTCTTCTCTTGGAGTTGTACCTGATTTTGTTGCCAGTTTTCATCCGAATCCACTGAGGAATAGGACAATTTTGCTTTTGTTTCTTGGCTAAGAATCGCTTGATTCTGAAAGTCTTGTGAGAAGATATGGCGAGAAGGCGAGGGGGGCAGACAGCGCTCGATGGCGGAGGAAAGGCGAAGAGCTGTTTGTTTTTGTTGTTGTTTCTCGAAACAGGATTTCTCTGTAGCTTTGGAGCCTGTCCTGGAACTAGCTCTTGTAGACCAGACTGACCTTGAACTCAGAGATCTGCCTGCCTCTGCCTCCCGAGTGCTTGGACTAAAGGCTTGTGCCACCAGTGCCCAGCTTACTTTTTTTTTTTTTTAAAAAAAAAAAGACAAGGTCTCATTATGTAGCCTTGGCTGGCCTAGAACTAAGTATTTTCAATCCTAGAATCTAAATAGTGTGCAAGTTTTGTGTATAGGATGCTCAAAATTCAAATACTAACTTGCTGTTGCAGGAATATATTCCATGTAACTCAAGAAAGGCTTAGTCTAGTAAAGGGAAATGAGCTTGAACTGAAAAAAAAAAAGAAAAAAGAAAAAGAAAGGCTTAGTCTACCAGGCATGGTAGCACATACCTTTAATCTGAGCACTTGGAAGGCAAAGGCAGAGGAATCTCTAAGTTCAAGACCAGTCTCAGTCTATATAGTAAATTCCAAGCTAATCTTCACAGCGAGATGCATCTCAAAACAACAAAACAGAGAAAGCTGTATTCAGTCACATACCTTTAATCACAGCAGGGTGAGTTCTAAGTCAACTAGATCGACACAGTGAGACCCTGTCTGCCTCTGTCTCTGACACACTCATGTATGTGCACGCACACACGCACACACACACACGCACACACACACACGCACACACACACACACACACACACAGAGGAAGGCAAATGGCTTCAGGCACACATTGCTTTAGAAGAGCTTCTGGGCAGTCCAGTTGACACTGACGTAATGTTTCCCCAGGCCCCAAAGCCAAACCTTGTCGTGACGTCATCCACTTCCCCTGAGTCACAAGAGAATGTTGTAGATCCTGCGCCTCAACTAAAGGGAACTAAGGTTAGCTACCTTCTTTCTACTTGATTAAGCTGAAAAACAATTTTTTCCATGTTAATTTTCTTTTCCTCCAAACAAGGTCTGACTGAGTCAGACTCCCGATCCTTTGCTTCAGCCTCCCAAGGGCTGAGATGACAGACATGCCCACCCAGCCAATTCTCTGCATTTTTAATCCTCCTAATGAAACAGAAGCCATCATACTCAGCACAGTACTACTTGGTAATAAAGAACATCTATTATGCTGTTTAGTCTGTTTCTAAAAGCAATTCATATGGACTAGGCGTGGAGCTCATTGGTAAAGGCTTGTGGAAAACATGAAACCATGACCCCCATCCCCAGCACTGCCAAAAGTGCTTTTTTAAAATCAACATTTTAATTACATATAAATTTTAGATTTTTTGCCTTTCAAAAGCTACATAATATAAAATAATTAAGAGTTCCTGGTATTCATGGTGGATGCTTGTGTGTGCTGTATTAAACCACTGATCTCTCATTTCTGATGTTTAAGGATGAAGAATTTGCGCAACTGCCCCCAGAAGCATCTCCACACATAACACCATCAACAGCCATTTCCAAAGAAGCAGTAAGTAATCCAGAGAAACCTCTCCCCTAGTTATCTGTAAGAGCACGGAGACTCCAGAACCCTAAGTACCATAAAACATCGCGTGTTCTTCCTGTCATTCAAACAGGAAGCTGTAGCTGAACTCTAGTCATCTCATAATTGCTACCTCAGTTGTCCAAAAGGAGAGGGAAAAAAACCCAAACAAACAAACAACCCCCACCAGTGCAACGGTGGAGCAGGGCCTAAGCATGTGAAGTCTAGAAGCTAATTACAATATAGGCAGTTCCTTTTTTTGTGTTTTGCTTTGTAATGTGTTAAATAAAATAGTCCTCACATGTCATAGAGTTGCCACAGGCTTCTGATGTCAGGAAATACTAGCAAGAAAGCAATTAAAGTTTCAAGAAAATGCATGTAAGTAAGAAATTCCAGTGCCCACTTCTCCCGTTCGGGGGAAGGGCTGAAAGTTAACAGCGGGAAGGTCACCCAGTGGAGGGGAGACTGACAGTCCCTATAGGACAGTTTGAACCTGTAGCTGGGTCCCAAGACCCATGCTGTGTGTCTTCTTCACCTTTATTACCAAAGCAACTGACACGTGACTGTGGCCACCGTCTAATTGCAGTTCTCTGGGGGAGGGGGTGGGTGAAGGAATCTCACTCTAGAGTTCAGGCTTTCCTGGAATTCGGGTCAGTTCTCCTACATGATGTGCACACTGAGCCTGGCTTGTGGCCATTAGTTTGGTTAAGAAGGTGAAAGGGAATGGGATACTGATGAATTTACGGTGGTTAAAGTCCTGTTTTGTACCTAGATTCTCCAGGCCAAAGCCCAGAAGACCTCACAGAACAGCAAGGCCGATTCAAAAGGAGCCTAAGGACCCCTTGGAGCCGGGACTCACTCTCTCCAGCCACTGTTCCCTCAGCAGTGACATCCGTGAAGGAATTCTAGCTAAGCCTGTCTGGCGTGAGATAAAGGATCAGCCATTAAGTCGTTGGAGGCCCCGTGACCACTCCAGATGCGCGAGCAGTGACACCAGGCCACTTAGAGAAGCTATTTCTGTTGTATAATTGTCGTCCTACCAGACTTAGCATAAAACCCACTCCCACATGTTTTTGAATGGCTTCCTGTTTGTGTGCACTCGGAGGGGGGCAGTGCTAGGGAGTATCTCAGGGCCCTGTGGTTTCTAGGTAACCACTCACTGGACTGTATCCCTTGCCCTGCCCTTTTCCTTCTTAGATTTTGAGGTAAGGTCTAAATTGCCCAGGCCAGCCTTGAATTTTAAGCCCCCCACCCCCATTTCCCGAGTAACTGGATTACAGCCCAGTTGGTTCAGACCTTTTAAGAGGAAATGTATTCCATAATGGAGCTTGGCAACTTGGATTCCTCTGCCTCCTGGGGGTGAAATTCCTAGTCAGAACATGGAGATTGCCAAAACCACTTTTTAGAGCACCTGGCCAACCTCTGCAGAGGGACTCCTCAGAGGAACAGTGCACAAGTACCCAGGGTCCAGGCCCCAGAATAGTGCGCTGGAGCCATGGCTCAGTGGTAGGTTCCATTCCCATCATCCTCATGATGGCTTACGACCATTTCTAACTCCAGTTCCACAGGATCCAGCACCCTCTTCTGAATTCCACAGGTACCAGTCATGCATGTGATGTACATACATATACAAGAAAAACACTCATACACAGAAAAATAAATCTTAAGTTAAAAGATGAGCTAGCCGGGCGGTGGTGCCATACATCTTTAATCCCAGCACTCGGGAAGCAGAGGCAAGCGTATCTCTGTGAGTAAGTCCATCATCCAGCCTGGTCTACAGAGTGAGTTCTATAGTAAGACCCTATCTCGGAAAACAAAAACAAAAACAAAAAAAACACCAAACCAAACCAACAAGGCAGACACCCAGACATCCTCATCCTATGTCCACAGAGGCTGCAGGAATCTGGGTGGCGGACACTATTCTAGCACATAATCTTTTTTTTTTTAAATATATTTATTTATTTATTATGTATACAATATTCTGTCTGTGTGAATGTCTGCAGGCCAGAAGAGGGCACCAGACGTCACTACAGATGGTTGTGAGCCACCATGTGGTTGCCGGGAATTGAACTCAGGACCATTGGAAGAGCAGGCAATGCTCTTAACCACTGAGCCATCTCTCCAGCCCTCTAGCACATAATCTTAACCATTTGTGCTGGATAAGTTTTTTCTGGTCAGCCTGTCAGGATGGTGGTAAGCTCTGATACAGTCCCTTTGCTACCCGGTAACAAGCAGGAAGTCAGGTATTTAGGCTTAGGGTTTTTGATTGACAGGCAGCCGATCAAGAGCATCTTCCTTTGGTAGTGGAGAGGTGAAAAGGGAAAGGCATTTCAGCTTTTGCACAGTAAAGCTAGGGTTGCTTACTATGGAAGTGAAACTCGGGGGAGCACAGCCTGGGATCAAGTAAATAAGAAATGCCAACTCGTGTGTAGTTGCCTCTCAATGGGCAAAATGGGAACAGTTAGACCTAGTCACGGTGGGTTCCAGGTGTGTTTTGTTCCCCCCGTTTTACTTTTTAAAGAAAGGGTCTCACTTTGGTTGGCCTAGAACTCACTACGTAAAGTAGGCTGGCCTCGAACTCAGAGATCCAGCAGCCTCTGCCCCCGAGTTCTGGTATTAAATGTGTGTGCTACCAGGTCCGCTCTCTTGTCATTTGTGGGTTTTTTGTCTTGGTTTTTCAAGACAAGTCTTCTCTGTGTGACCCTGGCTGCCTGAAACTCTCTCTGTAGACCAGGCTGACCTAGATCTCAGCAATTCACCTGCCTCTACCTCCCAAGTGATGGGATTAAAGGCTTGTGCCACCTGGGCATTTTTTTTTTTTTAAAGACAGTTTCATGTAGCCCAAACTGGTCTGGAATTTACTATGTAGCTTTACCTTTTTGCTACCTTCTAGGCTAGTAAGATACTCGACACATCTCTCTACCCATTTTCACAAATGACATCAGTGTTTCTGTGTACAGCACTTGGGGTACTTGGCCACCCCAGGCTGAAACCTCACTGGTAGTGCTCTGGCCACTGATTAATAACCACAGTTGCAGATCCCAAGGATGGCAGGCCATCCCCATGGATAATTCCAATGCTAAGAAGCACATAACCAGCCTCTGAGAGGCAGCTCCAGCACGCCACTGGTTGGCAGCACGGTCTTTAAATGCACTTTTCACAGATCACGCATGCATCTGGGGAGCAGTATGGTGAAGACAATTCTGAACGCTATCACATGCCCAATGAGGGACCTGGTTCCAGAGCCCTTTATAACTCCAGTGTTCTTGTTTAATTTTCTTTTAGACAGGGTCTCACTGTGCATTCTTAGCAGGACTTGAACTCACAATGTAGACTAGGCTGGCCTACAAACTCAGATTTGCTTGCTTCTGCACTCTTGAGTGCTGGGATTAAAGGCGTGCGCCACCAGGACCTTAGGGCTCTGGCTGGTCATCTCCCTTCTTGGTTCCTACCAGCTGAGTGGCTGGAAGGCCATATTGCTTCAAAGACTTCTTTTCTTTCCCCCTCACTGTTCTCTGCCCTCCTACAGCTGTAGGTTTCTTGGCTCCACCAGCTACTAATAATCTCACTGGGTATAATTTTAGACCCTCTCTAACACGCACCTGGAGTGACATTAGTCACGGCTACATCTATGCAGAATTCTGCCGTAATAGTTGTTGGTGGCATTTAATAGTATTACCCTGCACTTGTATCAGGTCTAATTCTGCCATATTGGTCATGTTCAGAGCTTTAAAATGCTAAACCCTGGCCAAAGGTTCCCACTGGCAGGTAGGTCTGTAACTTCAGAGCAAACTGGCCTATGACCTAATACTGTGTGTGTGTGTGGGGGGGGATAGGGAGGAGGATTATAGCTTGCTGGCTCCACCCAGTGGCAGCTGATAGACTTGATTACCATTAAGGCAGATTTCCTACTTCATCTGTGTTCAATCTTACTTACCTGAAATCAATATATTACATTAGCAGAGCCAAGGGACTGATGATCTCTAGCCTGTGGCAATTAGAAAAGATGGAAAGGCAGTATTGATTGACGCCTCAGCCATATTTTAACCCTCGGGAAACCAGACAGATGCGATACTTTGACAGCACATCTTCATTATACAAGCTGGGTTCCCTTTCCCAGGAGACTCGATCTGGTCATCGAAGTAAAATAGCCATTTCATTTTCTCTCAGGTCAATTTCACTATCTTTTATTTGATAGCCATCCCTGCCTCGGGGGAATATTTGTGGGCAATTTGAATAGTAACAGCAAGGACCTCAGTGCTGATAGCTCCTAGCACCTTTCTTTGAGTCATCCAAAAGCCCTTTGTAGAATCTCCCATCCAATCACAGAACATTGAGTCAAATAGAGCTGAGGCAGAAATTATGCTCACAATTTTAACAAGGAAAATGAGTCTGAGCTGAAATTTACCCCCTGGCCCTCTTCGCCGAATTACGCCTTCTTTCTGCATTACCGCCCCCCCCTCAAAAAAAACCCACTTGTAATATTCTGACAGTTACATGTTTACAGAGAGAAACAATGATAAGAACTCTATGATGATGACCAAAACCACAGCTACCAAACTGCCCAGCTCAGAATGTATTTAAAGCAGCAGCCCTACTACAGGATGAAAGCATACTGAACGGGTTTGTATTCGGCAGTGACCCACCAATGATCACTAAGGATAGCGTCCCGCCGGTTTGAATAAGGTGCCAAGGAACCACTTGAGGAGAACAAAAGCCACCAGCAGGTGGCAGGAGTAAGTCACCAAGCTGACCCAAACCAAAGAGATTGTGTTTCCCTTCCCCGAGGGATGGGTGGAGTTTGTAGAGGAAAAAAAAAAAACTTTAAGGAAGCAAAGATCAGGGACAGTCCCAACAAACACAATCTGGTAACAGGGACCCAGGAGAGAAAAACAGAGAGTAGACTGGGAAGGACAAGATTAGCTTTGGGTGACATTTTTTCTACCCACACAGGGTTTGGGGTGAGTTTCTGGACGGTTAGTTCGTTCGCTCTGCCCGTTGGCTGGTCTCATCCCCCTCGTAGAAAACAATCCACGGTCGGAGGAAACAAGCTTGTAGTCTCGGTTCTCTGCCCTCAGTATTTTGGTCTTCTTACCCCCGCCTTTCCCAAAGCATCAGAGATAGAAGGGTTGGCTGGGAGGTCACAGGGAAATATAGAAAGCACACAGTGCCAACAGCTCATGGCCCCTTAGTCCCTGTCTCCCTCCTTTTCAGGGGGCATCTGCTCCCTTTTCACACGCCCAGGATAAAAATGAAGCAGCAGCAATTTTTATTGAGGGACCTAAACTGAAAATAGGTTTAAAACATAATTTAAAAAAATAAAACAGCAAAAGTAGCAAAAAATATATGACCTTTTAAAAAACATTTTCTTTTTTTTTGTTGTTTTTTTTTTCGTTTTGTTTTTTGTTTTTAATATATAGCAACGGATGCCTCCCAGCCACCAGGAGCATCTCACCCAATGGGTAAATCTCTAGTAACGACCCTTTTAAAAAGACATGTAAATATATACTCAGATTTATACACTTTGTGTTTTCTTCATAGCTATGTACAAAGAGCCCCGAGTCTAGGGCTCAGCCCCAGGGTCACATCACTGCTCCCAATCTCTGCCTCACCGTCTTCTGGTACCAGGTATTTGGTCAGCAAAGCAAATTAGTATTGGAATTAAGAAGCCCCTGGTACCACCCATCTGGGGCAGAGGTTGCTTTCAGTGAAGGCCTGAACAGAAACAAACCCCACTGCTTCAGAAGCCCCAAGGCTGCTGCCACCAGAACACAGGAGGCTAGTGGGTCAACCAGAAGACTCAGTGAGCTCTTGCTTGCAGGCCTGTTCCACTTGCTTCTGCTCCCCAGGCCTCCAAGGAACGCCAAGCAGCAGGGTGGGTCTTGGTCCAACACCTAGGAAGGAGGAAGTGGCTACCGGCCAGTACCTGCCTCTTGGCTCCTCTCCCACACAGCAGGTTGAGAAGAGGAAGAGAGAGCTCTTGGGGGGTGATGATAGGATAGGCCACACGGGAAGGCCTCAGTTACACACTGGCTCTTGCCAGCAGCAAGGGAGAAGGGAAAGGCAGCGTATCCAGCAGGGGATTACAGATGAGGGACACAGGTGATGACGGAACTGGTGAAAGGCCGGGGAGGGTTGGCAGTCAGCGCCGTTTGAGTCCACCATTGGCAAGCTGGGTCGGGTGTCGGGGCAGACAAGGTTCTTCAGGTAACGGCTCATGAGAGAAGACAGAGTCCTCCCCCGAAGAGCAGGTAGAACTCCGCGTGTCGGGAAAGCTGGGAGAGTACTGGTCCAGCGGCATGGACAGGTCCAGATACTCCTGCGAGGGGAGGAGAGGGTTGGTGGAACACAGACCTTCCCATGGCAGTGTGCCCTTAGGTGCCTACGCACGCGATGATGCCCCAAGGTCCGGCTCTACCTGGTTGGAGGTCAAGGCCACAATGCGGTCCAGGTCTTCCACCAGCTGTTTGAAAGTGGGTCTCTGAGAGGGCACTGCGTGCCAGCAATCCCGCATCATCATGTACCTGACACAGGATGGGCAGGTCAGAGAGGGAGGACCACAGCAGAGAGGGATGACCGGGGGGCTACTTCCTCATAATGACAACTCCCATCACCTGCCCACCACGCTCCCACTTCCTTCAGAGCCCGAGGACATCGGGAACCTCCCATGAGCCACTACCTAAGGGACCTCATCTGCTCCAACATCCGACCGAGATCGCCAACGGTGGACTCAAACAGCGCTGACTACCAACAGCCCCTCCCTCAGCCTTCCCCCAATTCACGCTTACAGTTCATTAGTACAGTTAGTGGGCTTGTCCATTCGATGACCCTCCTTCAGCAGCTTGAAAAGTTCTTCCACAGGCACACCAGGGTATGGGGAGCCGCCCAGAGTGAAGATTTCCCACAAGAGTACCCCAAAAGACCACCTATAGGAGAGCATGGTGCCACTGTGACTCACAGCACAGGGCTTGGCTGCCCGAGGGGTCCCTTCCCATGTCTTCTTGAGAAGTCAGCATAGCAGCTGCTCATCTTGAACCTCTCCTGCCCCGACACAGCCCTGAAGTGCAGGGGGCAGGGCACAGGAGACAAGGGGGGCGGGCAGCAAAGAAAGCTGGAACACGTTCAAGGGACAAGACCACGCTTTTATCGCCCACTCTCAGTGATGGAGAGTCTCACGGGTCCAGAGATGCAGGACCGCTAGTATGCTTTCCCCAACACATCCCACGTAATTGTGTATTTCAAACTTACACGTCACTCTGGTGGGTGTAGATCCGGTCAAACAATGCCTCAGGTGCCATCCACTTCACAGGCAGCCGGCCCTGCAAGCAGCAGTGTGCGTGGGGGAGGGGGGAATGACACAGAGGACTCAGGGGATGCATTGACAACGATGGATCAGGGCAGTGCGGGGACAAGCAGGGCATGGGCAGGTGGGGCCCAGGGCACGGAGGGCACATCTTCCGCCCATCCTACAGCCCCCTTTCTTAGCTCACACACAACCCCACGTGCGTACAGCAGAAGGGACAGCAAAAGCCTGGTGGCGTGGCGATACCCAGCAAGAAACTTACATTGGTGGTTTTTTTATAGTAGTCGATGTGGTGAATGTCTCGGGCTAGGCCAAAGTCTGCGATCTTCATTACATTGTCCTCTGTCACCAGGACGTTCCTAGCAGCCAGGTCTCGGTGGATGCACTAAACAGAGGGAAGGACGAGAGGGGGTGACAACCTGGAACCATGCTTTGCCACACAGCCACCTAGCCCCTCTACTCTGGCGCTTACTGTACAGTAGGCGGCAGACCACTTTACCTCACAGGTCTGCCCACACCCCATCACACCCTCTAGACACCCCCATACTCTCTAGACAACCCCCCTAAACAGTCTTTAATTCCAGATACCTTCAGCTGCAGTCTTCTCAACTCCTTTAGCAAGCTCTCCTTTATGCCCTTCTCTCTTGATCCCAACCTCTGGCTTTGGGAATTGTACCCCCAAAACAGAATGTTTAGGCCCATGCTCAGTCTGTGGAGGTGTGTGTGTGTGCAGGGCTTTCCCAACTCAGGTTCTCTGAGAACCTAATGAAACACAAGGGCTTTGTGAACCCAACTCTAGCGGATTAACAGTTGTAAGCTGGAGCCGGGTACAGCAGTGCACATTAGCAGTTAGCAACGTTAGCATCCCAGCACCAGAGGGACTGACACAGAAGGTGAGCTCAAGGTCAGCATGGACTGTGCAGTCACTGATGGGAGCACTAGGGGGCTTCAGTCCCACCCTGCTGTTTGCGGGGAGGGGCACTATCAGGCTTCCTACCTTCTTAGAGGCAAGATACTCCATGCCCCGGGCCACCTGATAGGCACAGGATACCAGATCTTTGGAGGACAGCTGTTCCTCGGGGTTATGACTGGGGTTGTAGCAATATTCCAGCCCAGGAGGCCGCCGGGCCTGCAGATACTCCCGAAGGTTGCCTTTGGAGGCGTATTCCACGATGACATAAAGAGGCCCTGAGCGCACAAAGACAGGGGCCACAGGTCAGGCAAGAGGTCAGCAAGTGGGCTACACCTCACGGAAGACCCCCCCCCCTTCTAGTGTCACAGCCCACTGTGTCCCACGCCTCATCTAAACTCCCTTTCCTGCCTCCTCCGCTTGGGGCGCAGGGAAAAAGTCATTCTCCGCATAGAAAGTCTGAAAAAGAATTCTTCCTAGTGGAGTCCAGAAGGTTCCCAAGCCACGCTGAGGGCAAGAACCCTATTATAGACGCCAATAACACCCTTGTTCCTATTCACACACTGAATCTAGGTGTCAGTAAGAATTCCTGGATGGATGCCAGTCGGCCCAGCCCAGCCCCTGAGAAACACATTAAACCCCCTGCTAAGCCAGTTTCTCAGCGGATGCCGGAGCGGGGAGCTGCCCCAGGAGCGGCCTACCGTCCTGTGTGCATGCCCCCAGCAGATTGATGATATTCTTGTGTTTCCCGATCATTTTCATCATCTCCATCTCCGAGATCAGGTCTGACAGGTCCTTCTCTGTTGCGTCGGCTTCACATACAAACCAGAGAGTGGTGTGAGGGAGGTGGGAAGCACAGCTAAGGGCTGGGGTGGGGGAAGCAGATCCTGGAGGGACCCCTTTCCTCCAGGACTTGCTTCTCACCTCCCATTTCCCATCCTGGAGTCGCCACTACCATGTGGTATTGAATGTGGCTGGAGAGGCCACGAGGAAAAAAAAAAAAAGCCAGTTATAGGACTGCGATGGGCACCTGAACCCAGGTCGACATGAAGAAGCAAGATAAGATTTAAAGACTTGGGGTGTGTTATCCCCCTCTAGTCCCAGATTAGCCCCTCAGGCAGCGTAGCAGCTGTGAGCAATGATAGCATCGTAAGATGTATTCTATTTGGTCCAGACCTAGTTTGCTGAGAAAGGAAAGAGAAATAGGAACGTCACTCACACTTCAACATCTTCACAGCCACTTTGGTCACGCGGTTGGGTTTGTCCTTATCCAGCCCGATGGCCTCTGCCAATACCACTTGCCCAAAGCAGCCCTCTCCAAGAGGTTTGCCTAAGACCAGTCTTGAGGCAGAAACAGAGAGTGACAGTCAGTCAGGGCTGGACAGACGACAGTGAGACAGTCAGGGCTGATAAAGGTCAGTTCAGCCCCCTTTCTCCTGGCATTTCACCCAGCCAAGAGCGGGGATACGGCTATTCCTAGAGGCATCTCGTGTACTTTTGTATATTCGCTACCTACAAGGTCTCAGCACACACAATTCCTACAGCGAGGGCAAGCGTGGGGTCCTCGGTCGAAAGCCACAGCCCCTTACCTATCTCTCGGCAGTTCCCAGCGGGGGTCTTCAGGAAGCTCATACTCAGAGACTCCAGCTAACATAGGGGTCCCACTGGAGGAGAGTCGTGAAGGCCGAACCAGGAGAACCCCAGAGTTCATGGAGGCACTGGAGTCTGCTGACACCTGTAAGAGAGAGTGGGGTCACCCTTCTAGCAAGGCGAGAGGGAAGGGGTAGCACAGACTCCTTCCAAACCCCCAGTTTTCTCTGCCCGTAGCACAGATTTGCTCCTATATGACTGAGTAATTTCTACCATCAAAAAGTCTTTCTGAATCCCAGCACTCAGGCAGTGTGGCACACACCTTTAACCTCAGGGAGGCAGAGGCAAGCAGGCCTCTGAATGCGAGGTCAGCTTGGTCTACTGGCTAATCAGGGCTATACTGGTGACCATTTTACTCATCTATTCAATGAGCACGCCAAATATACCTCTTCCAACTTAGGGTCTTATAATATCACAACAGTTCTTAAGTTTTTTAAGCTTTATTTATTTACTATGTATAGTGTTCTGCCTGCGCGTATGCCTTCACAATAGAGGATGGCACCAGATCTCATTACAGATGGTTGTGAGCCACCATGTAGGTGCTGGAAATTGAACTCAGGACCTCTGGAAAGAACAACCGGTGCTCTTAACCTCTGAGCCATCTCTCTAATCCAACAGGTCTTTTCTTGTCCCTTGGCAAAAACTCTTCCTCAGACTATGGAGAGGTGCCCTAAGGCACCTTTCTGGGCCAGCAGTGTTCTGAGGTGCAGTTACTTGTCCATACACCCACACTCTTTGACCCATTTCCTCCCTCCATGTGATAGAGGGGTACAGGGTAGACAGGCATGGAGCCAGAGATGGTTTACAATGTCCCAATGTGCCTGGTTCAGAAGCCGGAACAAAGTCAAACGTGGTAGGTGAGGAACAGCCGGGGGCTGGGGAAAAGAGGGGGGGGGGGCTGGGGAAAAGAGAGCGGGCCCTGGAGGCCCAGAAAGAGGCGACAGGCAGTGGTGGGCGTGCAAATCCCCCATCTACTTTCTGTTACCTGTCTGCGCAGAGGGATGCTCTTGGCCAGCTTATGCACAGCCATCTGGCTGTGGAAGTCACTCTTCTTGGTGCCGCTCTTCATCTTGTAGATGATGACGGAGCCCACCATACAGGAGATGAGGAAGGCCCCGGTGCAATAGATGATGATCTCCAGGTAGAGTGGTGACGTCATCACGGCTGGCCTCTCTTCCAGGGCTGAGTCAGTGTGGAGAGGGTGTCAGCAGATCAAGGGTGCTTTGCCCAGGAGAGGTATGCCCCATGAGAAACCCAGCACCTACTCCTTTCCCCCATGGGAACTTGTAGGGAACGGGGGAGGATCCAGGCAAAACCCAGCAAAGGCTGGGATGCTGGTATCAAAATGGCCAGACACCCTGGGACCTCTGAGGCATCCTTAAACACCCTTAAACTCAAACCCATAGAGGATGAAGCCTAGACTATGCTGTCCACAAGTCCAACACTCACTGACTCCAGAGTCACTTTGCAGCAGCTCCCTACTGGGCTAGATGGGCACCCAGAGACCCCTGCAGAACCTCAATGCTGTGCACATGTATCTATCATATAGAGACGGGCTGTTATGCCCAAGGGGTCAGGGAGTCCCCAAAGTACAAGGCCTAGAGTGGCACTCGGAGTGAGGACAAATGAATGCCCATGGTAGCCATCCCGTGTCTCTAAATACCTCTGTTCGTTCAGACCTGCAAATGGCTAAAACACAGGCAAAAGAAATTTAACATCTAAATATGTCTCCAGATGAAAAAACATGTATTTGGCAGTTCTTAAGAAATCCACTCATAGGCTGGGTGGTGGTGGTGCACGCCTTTAATCCCAGCATTCAGGAGGCAGAGGCAGGTAGGTGGATCTCTGGGAGTCTGAGGTCAGCCTGGGCTATAGAGTGAGCTCCAAGACAGCCAGGACTATCCAGTAAAACCCTGTCTCTAAAAATCAAAAGAAAAAAAAAAGGAAAAAAAGAATAGAATTCATACTGTCCTGGCTAGCTTTACGTCAACTTGACACTGGCTAAAGTCATCTGAAAGGCGGGAAGCTCAACTGAGAAAATGCCTCCATAAAAGTGGGCTGAGGGTAAGCCTGCATGGCACTTTCTTATTAGTGATTAATGTGGGAGGGCCCAGTTCACTGTGGGCAGTGCCACCCTTGAGCTGGTGGTACTGGGTTTTCTAAGAAAGCAGGCTGAGCAAGCCATGAAGAGCAAGCCAGTAAGCAGCACCCTCCATGGCCTCTGCATCAGCTCCTGTCTCCAGGTTCCTGCCCTGTTTAAGTTTCTGCCCTGACTGCCTTTGATGATGAAGTGTGATATGGAAGTGTAAGCTGAATAAACCCTTTCCTTTTCCCAAGCTGCTTTTGGTCATAGTGTTTCAACGCAGCAGTAGTAACCCTGACTAAGACACACTCATCCCCACTTGCCGTTGGTCCACCTTTCCCTGCAGAAACAGGGTCTGTCTGCTGGAACCTCTTCCCTGCATGTATACAGCCCTCTTCCTACAGTCCTCCCCTTTCAAACCTTAGCCAGCTGAAGAGGAAGCGACACCCTGGGAGTCCTTCCAGCCCAACAAGGAGATGGAGTTGGCGACAGGGAAAGAGCTGTTTGTCTCTTCCCTCGGTGTCAGAAAATGAAGACTCACAAGAAGCATTGCCTCAACAGAGGCAGGGGCGAGAACACTACTAAAGATGCTTCTCTGCAAGCAGTGGCGTGTGTGGCTACTGGGCAAGCAAGGTGGAAGGGAGGAGTAGAGAAGGAACGCAAGGCAGCAGCCACAGAACAGCCGCACGCAGGCCACATGCACGCAAAACCATACTGGTCCTGTGTCACCAACCCACCACCCAGCAAGGCTGCAGGCTCCTTCCTTCCTGGCTGGTACACGGGACACAGATCTCCCCACTTGGGAAGGGATGAGTCAGAGAGGTCAAATGGGCACCATTAGGCTAAGACAGGTCTTTCCCGAGGTAGCTCAAGTTTGCTGCTGTCCCGGCACGCCAGTCAAAGGGCAGCGGAATGGAGAGTGGGCCAGCAGCACCCAATGGAAGCGGTAAGCTCCTGTTGGCTGAGAACCTGTGTTCATGGAGAAGAGGTCCAGGGCTTTTCTTGACACTCCTGAGACCGGCTAAAGAAGTCCCAATAATTCAAAACCTCAGTACCAAGCGGACGAAGGAAGATGCTATCCCCAAGGATGGAAGGAGCCTGCGCTGGAAAGCACTGTCGCAAGGTAAATTCAGAGCTCAAGCATGCATTACAGTGACCAGGGAGAGAGCCAGACATAGATGGGCAGGGGAGGCTACCCCATGGCTTCCTGCAAATTCAGAAACCCCCTGCATAGGCCTCAAAGCTGGAGCAGAAAAGGGCGCACGGAGAACGGGAGTCATCCCTTCCTGCCTCTCCCTGGTCCTATAATGGATGCGCTGCTCTCCTGGCAAAAGCAGGACCCGGAAAGGATCAGTGCAGTGTATACCTTCCAGAACGGTCAACCATGCAGAGTGATGGGAGAGTCCGATAGAGTTACCCGCCAAGCACGTATACTCCCCCGCATCCTCAAAGGAGACATTTCGTAAATGAAGCACCTCCATTTCCTTGTCGGTGGTATTAACTCCAGCAGTCTAGAAGAGACAACGGAAGCAAAATGGACAAGCACAGGACATGAGACCTCAGAGAGACAGACACACCAAGAGGACAGAGAAGGGGACCAAAACCAGAGGAAGAAAATGCTCCCCAGCATCTCCTTTGCAACAAGGCAGCAGAAACCACCAGGCAGCGAGACCTGTTAGAGGAAAAGAGTGAGGCCCTGAGGGAGGCGCTCCTGCAGACCTGAGGAGAAGACGGCTGGTTACGACCCTTCACCAGACGCTGGCAGTCACTGGCCCAGCCAAGCATGCGGGCGGTGGGCAGCATGGAGAAATGGGACCTGGCAGGTGGGGGGCTGTTTGGTTTTAGGTAAGGAGAGTCAGTGGGTACAGACAGACAGATGGCAGGGAAAGAAAGGCAGTCTCCCCCGACACACACACACACACACACAAACACACACACACACACAGAGAGAGAGAGAGAGAGAGAGAGAGAGAGAGAGAGAAAGAAAGAGAACACAACACATAGGGCACAAAGGGAGCCACAGATAAACCAACACAGTACCAAACCAAACCAACCTCCCAAGCCAGGGATTTTTCCATGGCTCTGGGCATTAGAACATAGTAGGAGAAAGGTGGAGTTGGTGCTGGCTTCCCAACCTGCCCCAGCAGTGTGGGGCCTAAATCAAGTACCCGGTATAGGGTCCCGTTCATCTCCACATTACCTTTTGCCACAGGTCTGGTGACAGTGAGCCACGCAGACTGGTTAGCTTCACCAATATAATTGGAAACCTTACACACATATTCCCCGCTCTGGGCCTCTGTCACATTGAACAGGGTCAGCACCTCCGCATCCGAGCTATTAATCCCCGAATGCTGGAACAAACCAACGACACACGAGTCAGTTGGGCAAACACTGAGATGTGGCCACACTGTGCTCCTGGGGTAACTTCCAGTCAGGCCCAAGGAGCCAAGGTAAGGGAGACACTGGGACCTCCCATCTTCTTTCTCCTCTGAGTGGGACAAAATGAAACCGCTAGTAAGAGTGGATGGAAAGGGAGGGGCTAGACGCAGGACAGAAGGGAAAGGGGGAAGGGAAACAAAGAAGAAAAGAGGGAAAAAAGGGGAAATGAGAGAAAGGAAGGGGAGGGAAAGGGTCACGGTCCAAAGTAAATATTCTGTATGTGTAAAACTTCCTCTACCAGGCCAGGGTGGGGACTTGTAATCAGAGTCGGATCTCCAAGGCCCAAAGCTAGAGCTGGCTCTCTGTCTTCCAGAATAGTCTCAGCACCAGGGGCAAAGAAAAGGGACAGTCAGTAAATCTCTAGGACAACCAAGGCAGGGGAGGGAAGATGAAATCTAACTTCTGGTTATTTCTGCCGCAAAATCCTCTGGAGACTTAGCCAATTACCTCCCTGGATTAATGGAGCATTCGGGGACACTGAGGGTCTGGGAGTGAGAGGAAAAAGGAAGAAAATGCCATTACTCCTCAAACGCCTCAGAATTTATAGAGGGCATTGACTTTTCCAGATGTTCGAGCAATACCCTTATCGTTTACCTTGTGCGCCAAACGATTGTAACTTAGGAAGCAAGCAGGGCTGATACTGGGAAACACTTGTTGGAAGGCTGTGCTGTTCGGCCACAAGCAAGCAAGAGTCTCAATGCCTTCCTTAGGTAATTGATCCGAGACCCTGGCTCACTCTCAAGGCTCTTTAGAAACCAGCCACTATTATCACTCACCCCGCCCTCTGTACCCAGCTCCCCCTCACCTTCTGCTGTCACCAACCTGTGGCTGGATCCCTACTAAGATGGCGTAGGCACCTTGTGGGTCAGGCTGAGCCTCAATCCCAGCAGGCACTGAGCCCCAGGGGACACCTGGTCACCTTCCCAGCACACTGGCCAAGAATGAGGCTAAGATTACCTTCAGGATCTGGACGTACGGCAGGTTGTCCGGGCCAATCTTACTCCCGTTCACCTCGATGTGCTTCAGCCACTGGATGTGAGGCTGTGGGTCGCTGTACACCTTACACATGAACTCCACGTTGCTGCCCAGGGCCACTGTCTTGTTGGCAGGTAACCCTGCCTGAAGGATGGGCCGGTGTGGGGATCGCTCTGCGAGGCAAGGGAGAGGACGGATATGTTAGACCCTTCAATGGCCTGGTCCTGGGTGGGATGCTGGCAGAGATAGGGTCTACCTTGGTTCTCCAGCATCATTCCCAGTGCCTCTGCTAAACTCTATCCCCTTGAGCCTGATTTGAGGGAAGGGATGCCATTTCCCCCAGTCCTACCCCCACATTTTCAGGCACAACCAAATCTCTTGTCTAAACAGAGACACGCCCCCAGATTTCAGTATCTTCGGCCCGCCCCGGATCTTCCAGACCACAATCTCCTTCCTGAACTACCACAATGCCAAGGCAGGTGCTGGTTGTGAGGCTCTGGCCCATACAGTCCTCGGAACAGCAGACCCACAACCTCTACAATCACAGCCCCGAGACAAACAACACACTGTTCTTGTCTTCCGAAATGCCACTGAGGAGACATGCTTGGGATTCTACACTCAAAGGCCCTTGGCCTCTGCACCTCCATGTGGCCTATAGCTACTCGGATTGTGTCTCTACTGGAAGGACACAAAGGACCAAGTTCAGGGCGTGAATGAATGAAAGACCCTGGTATGTTAGCGGTGTTCATTAAGCAAAAGCTACTTTTATGGCACAGTTCCCAGCACCGCATCAAGCTATGTCTTTCAAGACATGTAGCATAATAGTAGCAGTTGCTTAATGAATTAATAAAAAAAATTTAAAAAAAAGGCAAGCCAGGAATGGTAGTGCATGCCTTTAATCCCAGCATTCAAGAGGTGGAGCAGGTAGAGAGATTTTATGTGAGTTTAAGGTTAGCCTGGTCTACTTGGCAAGTTCCAGGACAGCCAGGGATAAATAAAGAAGCCCTGTCCCAAATGAATGAATGAATGAATAAAATAAAAGAAAGATGAAAAGAAAAGTGAGGCTTAAGGCAGGCCCATGCCTGTAATCCTAGCACTTGAGGTTGGAGCAGGAGGATCACCATGAGTTCAAGCTCAGAGTGAGGTCCACAGCAGCCTGGACCTGAACTCTGATTTGTATCTCACATTGGAAGGAAGGAGGAGAAGGAATGAGGGAGGGAAAAGTGAGGTCCAAGGAGAGAAGTATCGTGCCAAATGACCAGATTCCATCCCCAGGGCTTCAGAATCCACGGTTGCCTTTTCCTCCAACTGACTCTTGTCACCTTAGCCTCGGCCTTCTTACCAACAACATCAAGCTGGTAGGTGTGGTTGATGCTGCCATACTCGTTCTCCACGATGCAGGTGTAGTTGCCCTTGTCAGAGGGCACCACAGAGTCCATTATGATGCTCCAGGTGGCATAACGAACCTGTAGGGCAGACACAACCCAAGGGCTTTACTGAGCATCCGGGGTAAGGCGCAGAGGAGAACAGGCAGCAAGTGGCTGGTGCCGCATTGTTAGCCAAAACAAAGCACAGAGGGACTAGTTCTTGGCCTATTCACACTTGGTACACACCATGCCATCTAAACTAACACTGGACACCTTCACAGCAGCACTTAGGAGCAGCCATGATCTGGACAAACGTGCCTTTGGCAAATTCTCCTAAATTCACTGAGACTCTTCTCCGTGTCCACCAGTCTCCTTCCTGCTACTCTGGACACTGAGTTTCCAAAGCTATCTCCTCAGGGTTGGCAGGATGGAGCAGGGGACGAAGGCACTCGCCACCACGCCTGACAAGTTTGATTCACAGGACCCACATGGTAGAAAGAGACAACCAGTTCCTGCATGTTGTCACACCGCTTGCACACAAACCAAATGAAAATGCAATTCAAACAAAACAAACCAAAAAAACCCCCCTATCTCTTCTTCTAGTTGACTCTGGTCAGATCTGTGCTCAACCTTCCTTCTGCCTGTCTACCGATGTACCACTGAACAGCTGTTCATCCCAGCTGCCCTCTGCCATTTGCCTTCTTATTAGGCTACAAAATCTTCACAGGCCAGAATGCTGTCTTATCCTAGCTGAAGCATAGTAACTTGCAAATAGTAAGTGCTTGGTAAGTTAAGGTAAAGCTTTCCCATAGCCTTTCTCTAAAAAAGAAGGAGGAGGAGGAGGAGGAGGCGGAGAAGGAGGAGGAGGAAGAGGAGGAGAAAGAGGAGGAGGAGGAGGAGGAGGGGAGGAGGAAGAGGAGAGGGAGGAAGAGGAGGGGGAGGAAGAAGAGGAAGAGGAAGAAGAGGAAGAAGAGGAAGAAGAAGAAGAAGAAGAAGAAGAAGAAGAAGAAGAAGAAGAAGAAGAAGA